TGCCGGCGGTCCAAGCCGGGTAGGGCTGCTGGGGGGGAGGCATAGGAGGAGGTGCAAGGGGGAGCTGCGACTGGAGGTCAAGCTGCTGCTGCAACTGGGAGAAGAGGTTCTGCTGCCCCTGCTGCTGCTGCTGAAACGGCTGCGGCAGGATGTGCTGCGGAGTCTGCTGCTGAGAGACGGCCTGGTGGGCCAAGGGGGAGGAGACGGGCTGGAAAAGAAGGGAGGTACGAACCTCTTGAGGAGTGGGGCGAGGGGAGAGGGAGGACCAGCGGGGGGGGGGTGCCGGTGTTGCCCCGGGCAAACCACTCATCACTGAGCGCTTTGAAGCAAGAATCAGTGGCATGAGTGGTCTGGCCGCAGCGCTGACCCCGCGTGGGGCCATAGCGAGGGAGATACTGACAAGGAGGAAAGGCGGCTGCTGCACCACGTCCTGCGCCATTGCCACCACGACCCGCACCACCACCACGACCAGCGCCACGCCCACCCCCACGCCCTCCCCTGGTGTTGCGCTGCTGAGCAACAGCGGCAGCTGAGGAGGATTGGTGCAAGAGGTCGGCCTCGGTGGTGATAATCCACTGGGCGACTTCAGCCGGGGTGATGCGCTTGTCGATCAGCTGCATGTAGGCGATCTTATGGGTGTCGAAGGCAGGAGTCAAGCCTTCAAGGAGGTGGCAGCAGAGCACTGGGTCCGGGTACGGCACGCCAAGAGCCGCCAGGCGCCGAGCGAGGTCGAGGACGCGACGCGTGAAGGCAGCTGCGCCGGTGGTAGTGTCCATGGTGAGGCTCTAGAACTCCTTGATGAGGGAGTAGAGGGTGGCGACGTCCTGCCGATCATAGAGATCGGTGAGGAGCCGCCAGAGGTGGGAGGAGGAGGTGGGAGCAAGCTCGCGCTTGAGGGTGGGAGGAATGGTGGCGAGGAGGATGGTGAGAGCGCGCCGGTCAGCGACACGCCAGGCGGCGAGGTCGGTGATGTATGCGGGCTCGCGCCTGACATACTCCTGGAGCTCCGCCTGATACGTGTTGTAGGCGGCAGTGGCGGCGTCATGCTCGGCGCGGGAATCCTCGAAGAGCAGCTGCTGGCGGACGTGGTCGGTGAGGCCGGCACGGTAGGTGCGGATGGCGGTCTCGTAGCTCTGAGGGTCGTTGACGTCAGGGGCGAAGGTTGGAGGATCGCCGGGGCTGAGGGGAGCATCGCCAGGAGGAGGAGGTGCAGGGCCCGCGGGAGCATCCGGCTGGGCAGGCTGAAGACCGCACTCCTCGAGATGGACAACGGCTTTCAGGTTGTAGCCGTTGACCGTCACCGAGGAGAGAAGCACCGTGACGGTCTGGGCATATGAATGCTCATTGACCGCGGTGTTGTCGGGCAGCAGCTCAAGAGCTTCGACAAAGGTAAGGTCCACCGAGGAATCGGACGCCATTGAGGAGGAGGAGGGGAAGAAAGGGGGGGGAGGAGGAAAAGGAAAGGAGGAGGAAAAGGAAAGGAGGAGGAGAAGGGGGAGGGAGGAGAAGGATAGGTGCGCGGAGCGCAGCTCTTACGTCGCCGAAGGCGCGACACGCTCCGAGGAGGATGCGCCGAACGAGATGCGCGACTCCCTCCGAGGAGGAGGCGGCGACCGGCTGCACGTCGAAATGGCGCGACGAACAGGTGCACGCGACGGCGGATCCGGCGACGGGCGGGCGCACGCGGCGGAGAAATCGACCGACAGCCGTGCGCGCGCGGCGGCAGAAAGGCGACAGGCGCGGAGAGTACGGGCGCGACGGGAGGATTTGTCGACGGGCGTGCGCGGGAGCCGTGACGGACGAGCGCGCGGAAAGCGCGACGAAGAGGGCGCGACGACGGGCCGCGCGACGGAGGAGCGCACCAACGGGCGCAGTAGGAGGATGCGACGAGAAGAAGCTCGTCGTCAGGCGCGACGGGATGCGCACGACGGAAGGGAGAGCGGGCGCGGCAAAAGGCGCGCGACGGGAGGAAGAGCGGGCGGGACGGAATAGCGCGGCGGGAGAGGGCGCACGGGGGGCGCGGGAAGTAGCCTAAGGACGGGCTAGGCTTCGAAGACGAGGAGGGACGGCATAGGGCCGTGCTAGTTAGGATCGACTAGAGGTGGCGTGAGCCATTGTGGCTCTGAATACCATGAAGGAACTAGCTTGGAAAAGAAGAGATTGAATTGAGTAGGGAGCCAAGAGGCTCTTTTGTACAAAACAAGGAGCAAAGAAGAGTTAGAAGGGAAGCTATCCTATTGGCCATAACATGGACCAATGGGAGAGGTAGCTTGTAGGGCAAGCAACCACAAAGTGTTGTGCTCTCCGATTGGCCACAATGTGGACCAATGAGAGAGATTGCTTGGAAAGCAAGCAACCACAAAGTGTGGTGCTTGGTGATTGGTTGGTTCCTAGGACCAAGGACCATTTGGTTGGAATAGTGCCAACCAAATGTCTAGGACACCTCCCCCTCCCCCTTCTACATCCTCCTCTATGTCGACGATATGATCCTCATCACTGCCGACTCCGCCGAGCTCGAGCGTGCCCAGCGTGAGCTTGGCAGCCGGCTCAAGTGTTAGGATCTAGGGGAGCTGCAGCACTATCTCGGCATGGAGATTACACGTGACCGTGCTGCTCGCACCATCTCCCTCTCCCAGGGCCACTACCCGCAGGAGGTCCTGGAGCGGTTCGACATGGCTCGAGGCACCCCTCAGGTCACCCCTCTTCCTGTTGGGCACCACCTCACTCCCCTCACCTCCCCCTCCTCCTCCTCCCACCCCTACGCTGAGCTCATTGGCTCTCTCATGTTTGCTATGGTCTCCACTCGCCCTGACCTGGCATACCCCATCAGCGTGTTGGCCCGCTTCGTTGGTTCCGGCAAGCATGATGCCGCCCACTGGCAAGCGGCCAAGCGTGTCCTCCGCTACCTTCGGGGGACCAAGGACTACGTCCTTACCCTTGGCGGCCCTTCCCCTCCCCTCCTCACTGGCTACTCTGATTCCTCCTGGGCTGACTCTAGGCCTGACCGCCGCTCCTCTTGCCGAAGTTGCATTCTTGTTGTTTGTCTGGCGAGGAAACTCTGGGGGGTGGCAAACTCTGTTCATTTGAATTGAACGAAGAATGCGACTCTTGCATCTGGTGATTTTTCTACTCAAGGGATTCCAGCTGTTATCTGCATCTCCCCCAGATGCTTCACCGTACACAGAACCTCAGCACCGCCCCTCGATGCTTATACCCCGTGCCTTTTAGCCGTTCTCACAATAGTTTGTTTTACGAAGTCTGATCTTCGAGTGAACTTTAAGGCTAGAATGTTCTGGAAGGAAGCTGTTGTTGGACCCCCAAAAAGCGGGTGTCATTTGAGATTCTTCAATGAAACGGCCACGTCGGACGTTACACCAGTGGGTGCATTATTTTGGGGGGAAGCGGTACTTCCAGTAGACTCACACATCAGGAGAGTTGTTCGAATCGATTGAGGAGTTTGCTTGCGAGGCATTTTGAAGAGCATCCAAGGCTATTCACGTTGAACAAAGCTCTGTGCCGACATTCACTGGGAGGAACTTGGATGGGGGTAGGCGTGGCTGAGACTGGGAGAAGAGAATGAACCTACGCCCCAGTACCTCCAACCATCATGAGGATTGTGGAAAGAATTTGCATGGAAAGAATTTGCGTGGAAAGAATTTGCGTGGAAAGAATTTGCGTGGAAAGGAAGTATCAAGGATTTGCGTGCCCATCATGCTCAAACGCAATGCCTTTTGTACCCATGCCCATCATTTCAACTTTCTGTCTCCCTTGTCCACTGCAGCATCATCAGTGGCACACACCTCATGTGCCCACCTGACTACACCGCCTGCGGCCCAACACAGTCGCCTGAGACAGCTTTCTGCCACACATGCCCTTCCTTCTGCAGTACTTGCGGCACACCAGCAGGCAAGCGAATGAACAAAGGTGCACCGCAGCCGATCATGTTGCTCAGCAATCTTCTTAGGGCCTGGCTCGACACGAGTCACGGCTCCTTGACTATGGACGCCTCATTGTATGTAGCCCTTGCTTCAGAGAGCACAAAGAGTGCGTCAGAACATGGCATGGGCTTTAATCCCATCCTGGTGGTTCTGGTGCTTGTATGTAATCAACTTGCTGTCATCCTCACTGCTCTGATTTTCACTCAAGCAGGACCACTAAATAGCAGCAGCAGCAGCAGCAGCAGCAGCGAGTCGTCACCAGCAGCGTCTGGGGGAGGTGTATCGGTGGGAGTCATCATTGGCATCGCTGTTGCTGTTGTGGTCCTTCTGCTGCTGCTTCTGGTGGCCGTGATGCTCTGCTTCACACACGGGATGCAGCAGAAGCCAAAAGGTGGATTGTTTTCGATTCAGACTGTAAAATCGCTGTTCTGTGCGGCCCTTTGCAGCATAGCCATCACGATCAGGAAGGAACAATTTTCTCCCTGCATGTACCTCCCTTCCCTCCCTTCACCCGCCACTCCACGAGCAGGCCTGGCTGCCAGCATAGCAGCCTCCCACTGCACCGAGTTCTCTCTGGCTGAAGTCCTCACGGCCACCAACAATTGGTCGCATGAGAATCATCTTGGCTCGGGTGCCTTTGGTGATGTGTACAAGGGCGTGTCCCCCCGCGATGGCACCACCGCATGGGCTGTGAAGCGAGCCAAGCTGATCGACGTGGACTTCCAGAGGGAGGTGGGGGAGCCGCATGCATGAGAATGGTTGGAATGCAAAACTTGTTCCCATGGTGCCCATTGTCTTCCACCACCTTAACTACTGTTGTCTGAACGAATGGTTTCTCCATTTTTGTTCAAGTCCTGCTCCCTGCGTTTGCAATCTCCCGAAAGTGGCTTTCCTTCTTTACCTTATCGTGTTCTCTGCTTCTCCACCTGTTCATGTTTCTCAGCTTTTCACTCTCTTCCTTTATTCCTGCTTCGCATTCTCTTTCTGCCTTCAATCGTCAGGTCCAGCAGATGGCCGGCAAGAACCACCCTAACATCGTAAGGCTTCTTGGATTTGCAATAGGAGGGGACTTGAGGACACGGCCGGAGCAAGTTCTCATCTATGAATATGTGCCCAACGGTGACCTCCAAAGATGGATTAACCCAGGTATCTGCTCAAGCTGTGACACTATGGTATGGCAGTCTTGCAGTGGCACTCAACCTATGAGACTAATGCCGTGCTTGCTGCGCACTCGTGCTGTGGATCCTTGCAGAAGCTGCTTCTTCTCTAGGCCTGAAGCAGCGGCTGGACATTCTCATCGGCATTGCACGTGGCTTTGAGTACCTCCACAGCTTTGGCCTTGTGCATCGCGACATCAAACCCGCCAACATCCTCATCAGCGCTGACATGCAGGCAAGCCCAGATGCACCAAGACACTCTGAAATTCATGCTCATGGACCTTTGCTGTGTCCATTCCAGGAGTGTAGGTAGAACCAGAACTAGGGCTTGGGTAACATGTTGAATCAATAGGGGGGCCAACACAAGTTAAGCTTGCAACAGATATGTCACTGCGTGAAGGCGACATAATTTCGAGCTACGCACTTTAGTCTCAATAAGATGTTGGTACACCACCTTGGTTGGTTTTTTCTCTATCCTTGAGTCCCTAATTCCCCGTACCCTTTCCTTGAGCATCACATTGGAAGTCTTATTCTCTACAGTGCAAGGTACGTAGGGGATAGTCCAGCAAGTGAGCCATTTAAGCATCTCCTTGGATCCACGTGCCTTCGTTAGCTATCTTCACCATTTCTTCTTGCTACAACCAATCGTCAGGCCAAGATTGCGGACTTTGGGCTTGTGAGGGCGGGAGAGGGCACCACAGCGGGCACTACTCGAATCATGGGAACACCAGGCTATGTGGATCCTGCTTACTCCAGGACATCTAAGGCAACCACAGCAAGTGATGTTTACAGGTGAGCCAGGGGCCCAATCGATCATTGCATATGACACAAGGGACAAGGGTTAAGAGGTTCGAGTAATTATTATCTATCCATATGCCAATGCATACATGAGGCTGTGCTCGCTGGATTCGGGCAGCACTATTCATCATCTGTTTGACATCTGAAATGTCGCCATCTTGTCCTTCTGCTTTCCGCAGCTTCGGTGTGCTCATGCTTGTGGTCCTCACGGGACAGCCTCCAGTCGCTGAGTCGGCCGGCAAAACCAGACAGATCACTCCATGGGTAAGTACCATGGCCACCTTGTTGCATTCTGTTTGAAGGAAAAAAGTGCCATTTTCCTAACAGCAGTAAAGTAGCTTACGTTGTACGTCAATGATTGCATAATGACTCATCACCCCGCTCCTGCTACTTTTCTCATAATCCTCCGCTCTCTCAGGCATCCGAGTGCATGTCCTCGGGTGACTTGGGGAGCCTTAAGGACCCCTCGATGGACGCCCCTGGGCATGCTGTGCTGCGCGTGGCTCAGCTGGCAGTCAGCTGCACCGTGGAGCGCACTACCAGCCGCCCAAGCATGGCGCACATTGCCAACGAGCTGCAGGCTCTCAGGGATGAGGTGGCGGGGAAAGATGAGCTGAGTGCTGCCATCAAGGTGGATGCGGAGGTTCAAGAGATGATTAGTTTAGCAGCACGCGGACAGAGCCTGGATACTGAACTACGGAATTTGAAAAAGGAGTATGAAGTCTGAATGATTTTACCTCTGTTGTAGCATACGTGTGGTGTTGGAGGAGAGGATCCCTCAGGACCAGGGCTAAAGTTATCAGGGTATTTTACCCTGATTCCTGATTTCACTTGGTATGTTTTTCGGCCAGCCCTTAAAGACCGTGGCCCAAAACGTTCATGCTTTAGAAACATGATGTGCTGCGGTAAGATATTTTGTGAGGGAAGAAATTGTTGATTTCAGCAAAACTGTCACGAGTGTATTTCGCTTCGCGTAGTCAACGAATCCAAGTGCTAAGCTAAGGTAGCTGGCTAGGTAGGAAGCAGGGCTGACGTTTCAAAAAAAGGCACTCTGAGCCAACCCCCCCCCCAAAAAAAATAGTCTGAAGGGCCTTCAGCCGAATTTTTTGTAGTCTGAAATGTCAGGGTCCAGAACTCAGCGAGTCTGATTTTTTCAGGGTCCAGGACGTACAACCAGAATCACACACGGGAAACACCCCCACAGCGAGAAACATCCCTCCCTCCTACACCTCCCAAAAAATCGGCTACGTTCCTTGCAGCATTAAAAATCCTCCCACAGCCCGCGCCCCCCCCAACCAGCAACCTTGTCATACCCTCGTTTTGCGTAGTTGTTAAATGTGGGAAACGGGGAAGTCATTCCTAAAAACCGAGGGGGTAAAATCGCACTACCACGGAAATCGAAACTGAGGAGAGGGGGAATCGAAACTGACGGGGAAATGGGGGAGGGAATCAAAATGGAGGGGAGGGGGGAAGCGAAACGGAGGGGAGGGGGGGGAAGGGGGGGGGCGGTCGAAACGGAGAGGATGGGGGGAGCGAAACGGAGGGGAGGGGGGAAGCGAAATTGGAGGGGAAGGGGGGAATCGAAACGGCAGGGAGGGGGGAAGCTGGGGAATAGGACGGTGGGAGAAATTTCGCGCCCTTGCAGCGCCCCGGTTGGGAAATCTTGGACGTTAATCGCTATATAACATCGAACGATTGATATATGTCGAAACGATCGCAAACGATCGTAACCGTTACATTTTGTTAGACTTTCAGTTGACCAAACGGGCAACTGGCGAGAATTTCCCTATGTTAAAAATGCGGAATTTACTCTCATTTCAATGCAGTTAAAAAAAAAGTGAAAGTCTCATTCAAAACTTCTGGGTTGTTCCAGGTGTTAGGGAGGACTGTATCTGACAACATGACTTAGTCGAAATTTAGGGTGGGTTGTGGGGTGTGTGGGGGATGTCTCTAGCGTTCCGGGACTTCGCCGAAATTTTAGATGGGTTGTGGGGTGTGGGGTGGGGGTTGTCTCTAGGGTTCGGGGACTTGGCCGAAAATTTTTAGGGGTTGTGGGGTATGTGGGGCATGTCTCTAGCGATTGGGGACTTCACCAAAATTTTCGAAGGTTGGTACTGTACAGGTAATGAGTCAGGGTCTGTACGCGCTGTGCTCTGAAAACTCAGTACTGGGTTAGCGACAACTCTGATTTTCTCAGGATCCCTAGAATCATACTCTGAAGGGATCAGGATTGGGAAAATGTCTTATCTGGAAATTCAGGTTTGGCCAAAAAACAGGTCTGAGATTTCAGACTAATCAGAGTAAATAGTCTGATAAAGTCAGCCCTGGTAGGAAGCCATGGAAATGGCGTGAGGTTTAGCTAGGGGAAAGTTGCGAGAGAAAAGAGAGTGAGATTAGGAAGAGAGAGGCATACAAGGAGGGAGTTGTACCCTCTACAGTAGAGTTCATTCTTTCTAGTCTTAATATGGTATCACGAGTAGGTAGGTCCACGGTCCACCCACCCATTTCCGCCCCGTGCCGCCACCTACCGGACCCTCGCGCCCCTAGCTGGCCCCGCGCGCCCCTACGGCCCCGTCGCGCCCCTAGCAGGCTCCGTCGTGCCCTTACGGCCCTGTCGCGCTCCTAGCAGGCCTCGTCGCGCCCCTACGGCCCCGTCGCCCCCCTAGCAGGCCCCGTCGCGCCCCTACAGCCCCGTCGCACCCCTACGGCCATGTCGCGCCCCTACGGCCCCGTCGCGCCCCTAGCCGGCCCCGTCGCGCCCCTAACGGCCCCGTCGTGCTCCTACGGCCCTGTCGCGCCCCTACCGGCTCCGTCGCGCCCCTAGCCGGCCCCTCGCGCCCTTACGGCCCTTCGCGCCCCTACCGGCCCCTCGCATCCCTAGCCGGCCCCACGCGCCCTTGCCGGCCCCGCTCGCCCTAGCCGGCCCCTTGTGCCCTAGCCGGCCTCGTCGCCTGCGCCGCCGTGCCGCTGAGCCACCGTGCCGCCGAGCCGCTGTGCCGCCGAGCCGCTGAGCCGCCGAGCCGCCGTGCCGCCATGTCCCCAAGCCGCCGTGCCGCCGAGCCGCCGAGTCGCTGTGCCGCTGTGCCGTTGTCACACTGTATGATGGCGGACGCCGTTCTTTTTACGCTGAGGGGCACGCGATCGACTTTGCCGCCTGGCTCGTCGACCTCCACCGGCACCTGACAGGTCAGCGCCAGGATGGGCACTCCCTGGCTATGCATGTTGATGGTTTGCTTCCCCGCTCCCCTGCGCTTGATCCCCTCCCTACTAACCCTACCACTGCTGAGAGCGAGGCTTTTGCTGTTGCTGCGCTTGCTCGAGCAGTCTGGGATTCTCGCGACGTAGTAGCCCAGCTTGCCATTAGCCATGCCCTCCCCCTATCTGAGCGTGCGTGCTTTACCGCTGTCGCGAACGCCAAGGACTTTCTCGCTGTAGTAGTTGAGCATTACTCCACACCTGCTTCCGCCTCTGCTGGCCGCTTGATCCTACCCATGCTCTTCCCTGATCTTTCTTCTTTCCCCATGGTAGCTGACCTCTCTACTCACCTCCATGCACTATAGACCAGCTACCGCGCTGCTAGCTCTGGCGCCCAGCTTACTGCCTTCCCCCCACCTTTCTGCGGTACCCTGTACCTCATCGCCATGCGCCTGCCTGACCGCTTAGCCACTGCCCGCGACAACTTCCTTAGTCAGCACCCTGCCGACCTCACCCTTTCCGCCTTTGTCACTACTCTGTCTGAGATAGAGACTCGCCAGCGCACTATTGCTCAGTCGAGCGGTGTTGCGGCAGTCCCTATCTTTCAGGGCTGTGCCCCCTCCCAGTGCACGTACGCTGACGTCTCCGCCGCAGTTGCCACGACTGCGCCTGCACCTGAGCCAGCAGCTGCGGCGTACCCGCAGCACCGCCAGCGCCGGGGCCGCCGTGGCCCCAAGGGAGGACAGTGGTTCTGACAAGGGGGTTGGTGCTGGTGCCCAGGAGCAGCAGCAGTCGCCCCAGTCGCAGCTGCCGCCGCAGCAGCAGCTACAGCAGTAGCAACCGTGGGCTCGTCTCCCGCCCAGGTGGCCAGGAGCCCCACGCGCTGGTGGCCCTCGCAGCTCGGGGTCCACCAGCACCTTCGGTGCTGTGAGCTGCCAGTACCAGCTTCAAACCAGGCCCCTGCGTGGCTCGGTGTGCCACCGCTCGCACCCCACCGCTCGCTGCTTCCGCCGCCTTGATGACCTCTTCCGTCGCCACTTTGGTCCCGCCTCGGACCTCCCTGACTGGCCCAGCCTGCTGCGCCACGGTGTTCCTGTGTTTGACTTAGACATGGATCATATTAGTTCAGCCTTGCATTCTCTGTATACTGACGCTTCGAGTGTTTCCTGATCATATTACTCTGTGTCCTCTAGCTTAGGCGTAGCACCTGTGTGTAGTCCAGACTCCCCTACTGCGTCAGGCGTAGGACAGCTTCCTTTGTCTAGCCTAGGTTCTACCCTTGCTCCTCTGTCGTCGGCCACTACGGCGTCGCTGTGCTTCACTCTAGACTCCGGTGCATCAGCCTGTTTCTTCCGCGACCACGCATCCCTCACGCCGCTTGCTGCGCCTGTCGCTGTCGCCCTTGCGGACCCCTTGTCTGGTCCTGTAGTTGCTCGCAGCTACACTACCCTTCCCTTTCCGGCGGTTCCCTCGGGTTCCCTTATAGGCCTGCACATCCCTTCGTTCTCCAGGAACTTAGTTGGTGTCGGCTGTCTTCAGGACCTTGGCGTCACCACTACGTTCCCAGGTCACGAGTGGTACGCGGCCTGTTCCAAGGCCGGCTTAGGTGCCCTCCTTGAGATGCTCCCCCGGGACACTGTGTCTGGCCTGTTTACGCTGGACACTGCTCCCCCAACGGCGGGCGAGTCCTCCTCCGGTTCTGCGTCCACCCAGGTAGCTGCGGCGTGCTCGTGTCGGTCGCTCACTCACCCATCACTGTTGTGGCACCACCGCCTAGGTCACCCCGCCCTCCCCCACCTGCGTCACATGTTTCAGCACGGTCTAGTCCTCGGCCTCCCTGCGTCGCTCCCTGCTCTGCCTCCCTTGCCTGCGCTAACGTGCACGCTCTGCGTCGAGGGCCGGCTGCGCCGTGCTCCTCACTCCTCCTCACTTCGCCCTGCCGTTGCACCACTTCAGACCCTGCACTTGGACGTCTGGGAACCAGCCCCTGTCCTTGGACCGCGTCGCGCGCGCTACTTTCTTGTGCTCGTTGACGACTTCATGCGCTACACCACGGAGTTTCCCCTGGAGCGGAAGGCCGACGTGCCTGACGTTCTTATCCCGTGGCTCGTCGCTGTGCGCCTCCACCGCGGTCTCCTTGTGATGTGTCTCCACTCCGACCGTGGCGGCGAGTTCGCCTCTCGTCGGCTAGGTCAGTTCTGTCGTGCGGAGGGTATCACCCAGACGTACACCCTACTGGACTCCCCATAGCAGAATGGGGTCGCTGAGCGACGCATCGGTTTGGTCATGGAGGTGGCTCGTACCTCCATGATCCATGCCGGTGCACCCCATTTTCTGTGGCCGTTCACCGTTCGCTACGCCGATCACCAGCTTAACCTCTGGCCTTGCTCTCAGCGGCCACAGGTTTTGCCGACCCTTCTTTGGACCGGTTCTCTGGTGACACGTCTACATTCCACGTCTAGCGCTGCCTCGCTCACGTTCGTGCCTCCGGCACGGACAAGCTCACTGCCCACACCGTCTCCTGTGTCTTCCTCGGTTCCCCCCTTGACTTGTCTGACTGGCACTTCTACCACGCGTCGTCTCACCGCTTCCTTCACTCCCGTGACGTCACTTTCGACGAGTCTGTCTCCTTTTTCCACCGCTTTCCTCATCGAGGTCTCCCGGTTTCCCCCCCCTTGTTTCTGGTTCCCACTCCCCCAGTCGCCCCTGCTCCCCTCCCTCCCCATCCTGCTCCGTGTGGTGTGTCTCACGTCACTCCCCTCCCGTCGGATGTCCCTGTCGAGGAGTCGGCTGACTCCGGTGGCCCCGCGGCGAAGGCTGCGCCGCCTGTCCCTCCCCCGTTGTCTCCTCCTCCCTCGTCGCAGTCGCCGTCGTTGCCGCCGCCGTCACCGATGTCATCACCGCCGCCGCAGCCGCAGCCGTCGTCGCAGCCGCAGCCGTTCGTGGACTCTGGGGGTGCTGGAGTTGGAGAGGGTGCTAGTCCTGGGGCTCCTGTCGTGGCTTGTCCCGGCGGCCTAGGAGGTGGCACCAGCACTGGAGACGTTTCTCGTTCTGGGGGTGCTGGCGTGGAGTGTACCGAAGGTAGCAAAGGTGCAGCTGGTGGTGCAGGTGTCGGCGTTGAGCAGCAGCAGCAGCCGTTGCCACCGGTGTCCGCCCTTCGCCTGCTCGGCCTTCCCTCCCCGGACCGCTCGCCTGCGCCACCCTCGCCGTCTCCCCCTCTTCCTTTTCACGGTCTTGTGTTTCCTCCGCCGGACTCATCCCCGGCTCGTTTCCCCTCTCGTTCCCCTCCTGTTACTCCTCCTCTGTCTCCTGACCCGACGCCTTGGTCTCACGTCTGGTCTCGCCGTCCCTCTCGTGCTCGTCCTGTCTCTCCTGTTCAGCATTCTCACCCTATGTTGCTTCGTTCCCACGCATCTCGTCCTCCCCGTTTGCCTTCGCCTCCTCCGTCGTCGCTCACTGTCGCGCCCCCCCCTCTGTTTGACTAGCTTCGTGCTGCTCGTCCTCTTGTTCCTCGGGTCCTTGCCTCCCTCGTTACCGACCCATCTGTTCCTGTCTCTAGTCTTGACGCTCTTGTCGCTGCTGTCGCTGACTTTGCCTTTACTCGCCGCCTTGACTTCGCTACCGCTCTTGTCACTGACCCTGTCTGTCCTCCGTC